CACGTGTTTGTATGTGTCTGTGGTGTGCACACATGGTGGTGAGCTTTTGCTTCTCACACATGCCTGCTGTGTTAGTTATTTCTCTCATTGTTGTGACAGAACCCCCAGCAGGAACAGCCTAGGGGAGGAAGGCTTGCTCCCTGTGGCAGAGAGCCATGGCAGGGCCCCCTGTGCCGGCAGAAGCGTGGGGTAGAGGTCCTCTGTGACTGTAGGCAGGAACCAACTGGCCTAGACCCAGAGGCAAGCATAGCCTTCAAAGGCCTGACCTACTGACCCGCTTCCCCCAGCTGGTTGCACCTCCTAAGGTTCCAGAGCCTTCCAGCACCCCTCAAGGGGGACCCAGTGCTCAGACATGGTAGTTCCTGGGGACTTTTCATGCCCAAACCAAGCGTTCAACCACCAAGCCACATGTTCAGCTCCTGAAGAACTTTCAACTTGACTTTTAGGGAAGGTCATAGCATTTATTAAGAAGCAGGTAAAATGGGTTGGCACCCTGTTTGATTTTGAGGACTTGCTAGTGTGACGTGTTGACCATTACGGTCTGAGGTAGCCAGACTGCCAGGTTTGGCCGTTGTCTTGAGATAAGCGTGACCACGAAGCAGGATAGGAAGATAGGGAGGTACAGGAAAGGAAAAGACACCCCTTCTCCCACACACTGACTCTAACTGACGTCTCCGAGCAGCTAAGAACCAGAACTGCAGCAGGTAACTCCACGTATCAGTGATCTAGGCTTCAGGCCTGGATGTGTGCACGCCGGCCAGAGCCTCACCTCTTGACTTAGACTTTGCCCAAGAATCACAAAGGAAACTGTTATCTTCATTCACAGTGGAGACAGCCTCCCTTTGGTGTCCCTGTGAGCTAGATTTTCACTTAGCAGCTGCAATCCTGTCTGGTTTAGGGTGTCAGGACTACCCAGCAAGCTCACTTAGGTTTCTTGACAGCTCTGTGAAGACAGTAACTTCACACCCATCACAGGCCCATGAGTGGCTGTTGTAAAGTCGTCTTGAGAGGTCGTGCTGTCCGCACTATGCTCCAGTGTCTGTCTTTCTGTGCTTCTCTTTCTTTTCACCCTTGTGCTTACAGTCTTTGTTAAAATATCTCTATCAAACTCCAGCTCTGCTTCTTAGATTAGTTCTGAAGTTCTTTTTTACAACAAAGCCACAGATCCTGGGCTAAGTCCCTAGAAGTCTAGGGAAGTTCCTCAGGCTGCTGGGATGTTGTGCTTCTGGCCTCTGCCTCACAGACACTAGACGTCTCTTGGTAGATTCTGGCCAGTTTTAGGTGCCTCTTTCTTTGGCTTAATACTAAAGTGGCAGAAAATCTCAACCCCCAACTGGAGTCACTTCAACCCATGGTTTTTAGTTCAGAGCTTCTTCCTGCTCTGTCTTCCTGCGTCATCTTCCTCCTTACCTTCCTGCTCCTTCTTCCTGCTCCATCTTCCTGCTCTGTCTTCTTGCTCACCTTCCTGCTTGTGTTCCTGCTTTATCTTCTGCTCCATCTTTCTGCTTATCTTCCTGGTGTGCCAAACTGCTTCTTCCTCTTTCTGGTTGGCTATTTATTTAATAATTTATTTTAATTTTTCCAAGATAGGGTTTCTCTGTGTAGCCCTGGTTGTCTTGGACTCACTTTGTAGACCAGGCTGGCCTCGACCTCACAGAGATTCGCCTGCTTCTGTCTCCCTGAGTGCTGGAATTTCAGGCATGGATGCCATGCCCAGCTTTGTTAGTTTATTTGGGGGGGGGATAAATTTGGGGTGTCTGGACTACTGAGTTGTGTCCTAGCAAGGCGGGTCCCATTCTGCTCTGTTCCAGGGGGACTAAGCTTGGCTGTGCTGAGCTGAGGAGTCACTGTCATGAGTGAAGGAAAGCATTTCGTTGTCAGCACAGCAGACGTTTAACCTCACTGCAGCCTTTGCCTCCCTAAACTCACGTCCCCGTCGGAATGAACTGAGGCGCTGGGCTGCAGACGCTCTGGCACGCCACTGTGTTCCAAATTGTAGCTGTTATATTAATGTGGGTGATCATAATGAACCAACTACCTGAAAATAAAAGTGGCGTTGCCAGGCGACCCTGGGAGACAGCACACAGCCTGCTGGCCCTTCAGGGATGCGCACAGCGATTAAGGGATAAGGTGTGAACTCTCTCTTCCTCACATAAAAGTGAAGGCGGTTACACGCTTTTCCTTTGAAGCTAATTGCCCAAGCACCGCTCTCCGTGGCATGCTTGAGAGGCAGCCCGGCAGGGAATAGTTTTCAGGATGACTTGGTGACGAAAGTCTTAACAGTGCAGACAGAGGAGTCACAGCGTCATCTTTGGTGGAACCTGTCTGAACCTTATGACTGTGGACGTTCACTTAGAAAAATACCGCTCAGTGATTCAGTGAATTTGCAGTGTGTTTGCTTTAGCATCATTACTTGCAATTGCTAACGTGTTCAGAAGTTGTAAAAGTTTGGGTGTGAGGGCTTAATTTTACCCATTTCAGTGCGGTTGTGTGCTCTGCTTACATTTGCAGTGAACAGTCTGTCATTAGCTTCCAAGCAGCTGATGACATCGATGCAGAGAGCACTGTCAGCATGTGGTAGGATGGCTCAGTGGGTGGAGGCTGCTTGCCACTGGCAGATGGCATCGCAACCTTAGCTCCATCTTCAGAACCACACATGGGTGGAAGGAGAAAACTGACCACCGTTGTCCTTTGCTCTCCCTGTCACACACACACACACATACACACACACACACACCCTACCTCTCTCTTACACATGCACACACTCACTTGTACCCTGTCATATACAAACATATGCACCCTGTCACATGCACACACATATACACACCTGTCACACACATGCACCCTGTCACACACATGCACCTCACACATACACATCTGTCACACACACAGCTGGCATCCGTCACACACATATGCATGCAAGATGGTGATAAAATTAAAAATGGTTGCTAAAAGTAGACATTTTGACTCGTTCATGTTATTTTTGTCATTGTGTGTTTAAGGTTTACCTTTCTTCTTTAAAAATAATGTGTAAGTGTGTATGTAACGTGTGTGTGAGTGCCCTTGGAGGCCAGAAGAGATGTCACCTCTGGAGCTGGAGGTAGAGGTGGTTGTGAGTCCCTTGCCGTGGTGCTGGGGACTGCTCTTGGGTCCTGCACAGAAATGGCAAGTGCACCTACCTGCTGAGCTGTCGTCAGCCTCGGGCTCTGTTCTTAGAGCTGTGCGTGGTGGGCGTAACTCAGGTACCCGTCCCTCACCGGGAGGGCACTGACTGGGTTGGCCATGGCTTTGCAAGGGCTGGCATTTTTATGCGAGCAGCGTAGAACACCCCAGGACTCGCCCTTGTGCCCCATGTGTGGCAACCCAGTACGTGATAAGATGTGATGGGTGAATACATGTGCGGAAAATAAAACCTCATGGACTTCGTGGGAAGATGTGAACCTAATTATTGCTGAAAACACCACAGAGAGAGTCAGTCAAGTTTCTGACTCCAAATCTATAGCTGAATAGCACTGAAACAGTGAACATACACTAACCCACTTTTTAAAAAATATATACTCTGCTCACATTTTCAGTGAATAGTCTTCAAGCTTGAGGAAGGAATGCAGTAAATCGTTAGTACATGATGCTTTGCAAACACACAGTCCCATGTTCTTCTTCTGCGGCAGTGTGCCGTGAGCTGGGTTGGCACAGGTTTGGTTCTGCTCACACTGAAGACTGGAAGGCCGGAAGCAGGGTGCTCACAGAGGGAGGGGGCAGAAAAGGGAAGCAAAAGCCTCAAAGAGGGAGGGGAAGCAGGACAGAGATCTTCCTGCCTCTGCCTCCTGAACATGCCACCATGCCTGGACTAGTGAGTCTCCAGTTCCTGATATGTTGTCATCGATTATTAAAATAAAGCCTTTTCTTTCTCCCACCCATAAGCAACCATTTTAACATGCTTGCATCTTTTTCAGATACACCATTATAGCCTCATGTTCATTAATTGTACGTTTAAGTGGATGATGTATAATCTAAATTAATGTGAGGACACCCCCCCCCCTTGTTTTTTTTGAGACAGGGTTTCTCTGTGTAGCCCTGACTGTCCTGGACTCACTCTGTAGACCAGGCTGGTAGACCTTGAACTCACAGAGATCTTCCTGCCTCTGCCTCCCTGAGTGCTGGGGTTACAGGTGTGTGCCACCATGCCTGGCTGAGATTTTTCCTTTCTAGGATGCTGTTTCTTTTTCCTTTCTGAAGTTTTGTTAGTATATTAGACTTTTTGACCATTGTAATGAGCGAAGCCTGAAAGAATTTGCTGTCTCTCCTTCTCTCTTTTATTTATTTATCTATCTATCTATCTATTCATCTTGCTCGGGGATGATGTGTTTTTCTAGGGTGTGAATGCAGGGCCTCATGCTTACGAAGCAGACACTGATGCTGCACCCAGCCCAACTCCTCATCACAGAATATAGAAAAAAAGGGTGATTGTTGGATTTAAACTTTTGTTAATTTTGTCTTATTTTTCACCATTAGGAGCCCAGGGTCACTCCTCACAGATACAGTTGCATACTCCGACTGTCTCTTTTTTACACTGAAATGTTATTGTGCTAATTGTGATTCACACACAGTTATAAGAACTGATAGAAAGAGGGCTCGGGTGATAGCTCATTGGTAATACTCGCCCACTGTGCACGAGCTTCAGTGCCTGCACCACAAAGGGAAAATTCGAGAACTATGCACACGTGTCTGCCTGTGCGGTCTGAGAGACGATAGACAGCACACAGCGAGGACTGAGGCCCAGGCGCGCTCTTGACGACGTGATGTGCGTGGTGGGACGCACACTGCTTTCTCCCGAGGTGTTAAGGTTGCGGAGTGCAGTCTCCGTGCTGCGGAGTTTTGAATAACTGATGCGGCATTCATTCGTTTCCACAGGTGGGGTTTTCATGCAGATATTGAAAGTACTCACAGAGCTGTGAGATCCTGTTCGATAACAGCCTGTTTCTGTCTGTGTTTGGTTTTAGGTTGTTTCACGAAGAAACCCAGAGGACGTCCAGGAGGTAGCCTGCCCATCCCTGTGGAAATTGCATTTATTCCTGTTCTGAAGAAACTGCCCATGCTACTTGTTTGAGTGTTTGTGTTTGTATGTCAGTTTCTCCAGCCACATGACAGTGGCTGCAGTTACACTCCACACTGCTGAGGAGGCGTTAAGTGGTGTGAGTGAGAGTCTGACCTCTGACCCTCACCTGGCCCAGTGTTAGTCAAGGGCTTCTCACCTTTTCAAAGTCATGCTGCTCCAGTAAGCACAGTGCTAAAGCTGTAGTGACGACTGGGGCTGATGGCAGGAGCTGGTGCGGGTGGCCTGCCTGGCTTGCATTTCTTGACTGGCTCTTTTGCAGACTTTGCGTTTCTGTTTGCCCTCCTCTCCAGGGTGGTGCTGGCCTGGCATGCTCTGTTTAGGGATGTGGGGAGTAGTGCTTCTCTGTGCTTGGCGCTTTGGTTCCCTCAGTGCATCTAGTTTCCTTTCTGTTTGATTCCTCTCATTTGTGAGACTGGGGGCCCATGACAGGGGACCCCACGCCGTCCGTGTGTTTGAACAGATGCTGTAAATTTAACTGATTCTACAGCGGTGTTTGCTGTCCCCACGGAGTGTCTTTAGATGGGGTGTGGACATCTGTGTGGCTGCAGGTGCCCCTCTGGCCAGGAGAACCTGGTTTGATTCATGGATTTGAACTGATGTTCTGTACTGGCTGGCCCAAGTTCATTAGACTCTTGATGTGTCTCACCTGGTATTTGTTTTTATCTCATAATTCAAAACCACAGTGAAAGACATCTTAAAAAGATGTTATAATATTTCCCTCATGGGTTTTGAGACATATTTGTTTCCCTAATAGGGAGAAAAGTAGAACCCCATTATTTTAGAAGAGAATGACTATGTATGTTAGCTGTTCTCTCCTTACATGCCAACAGATAGCAGGAAACATCCTTTAGAATTGCACTTCTGTGTAATTCCTGCCGTTTCCAGTTGACTTGGCTCTTGAGAGTTCACAGCTCTGTTAGACTTGGGAATGGGCACTCCTCTGACTGTGTCACCTCATTGCCTTGCCGTGATGGCCGCCTTTTCCAGGGAGGATCCTGAACCAGCTTGCCCATGAGCGCACTCTCTGCCATTTCCTTAGTCCTTTTTGGGGGAGACGTATATAATACCAACTGCTGGTGACCCATTCATCAGCGTCTCTGTAAGTGCCCTTCGGAGAGCTGCATGCGCTTCTCTTAGCAATGACAGAAAATCTGAAGCCTCAGTGAGCCACTTCTTAAGCCGTGGAACATCCGGAAGTGCGTGTGCCTCACTTGTGAGATCTAAACACTGGCGGTCTCACGCGGGAGAGTTTGTCGTTCAGGCCTCCAGGTCCTTTTCTTCCATGCACTTCAAGCTGCGAACTCACAGATTTAGTTTCTGCTTTAGAATACTCTCAGGCTTCCCCAAGCTCCTGGAAATGGTAAACACGGTTAGTCCCTGTCCTCGTGAATGGAGAACCGTTTCTAGCCTTTTGTAGAGCTTGTCGGGCTCCGCCAGGGCTGTTGTCTTCCTGAGGATGCTAAGAGAACATTAACAGGGACTGAATCATTTGATAGCATGTAGAGCAAGGCAGCTTCTTTTTTCCGATTTCCTCAAAAATTTTAAGAAAACATTGAATGGGTTGGGAAGACGTTCACGAGGTGCCCGCTGTTCAAACACGAGGGCCCGAGTGTCAATTGAAAATCGTGATTGTATTGTCTTCATAGCAAAATCTGCATAGAACTGGATCACCTGGCCCTTCTTGGCCTCCCACTTCCAAAAGCATCTCCTATTAGCCAGCCTTCTCTCACAGCGCAGCCGGGCTCTGCCCTCAGCTCCAGCACAGCCCTCCTTAGTTTAGCCTTCTGTGGAAAGCAGGCCCACACCAGCCACTCTGCCCCTGTCCTAACGCCGCTTTCCGGGGCAGACGGCGTCCTGGCCCTTCGTGCACCGTGTCACCGTGTAGGGCTGCTGCTTGCCACATTTCCTGCAGAAGGTCTGGAGGGCTTAGGAACACTCACCACGGTCACGGCAGTGACACCGGCTCAGGAAGCTGGATTTTATTTATTTATTCATCTATTCATCTATTTGTTTATTTTTGTTTTGTTTAAGCTTTTTATTGATTATTTCTGAATTTCACATCATGTACCCCAATCCCACTTATCTCCCTGCCCCTCCATATCTGCCCTCTGCCCTTGCAACCTTCCCCCAACCCCTCAAAGGAAACAAGCAAAAGGAAACTATCCTGCGAGGAAGCTGTAGCGTGTCACAGTGTGTCACACGGTGCACTCTTTTGCCCAGACATCTTCACTTGCAGATGTGCCCTGCAGTGAGTCGAGGCTGGTCGAGGCCCTGGCCTCTGTGCGCCAGCAACACTGGACGCTCTCGGGACTCCTCCAGATGCCCTGCTGTTGCCCTGTGTCCTGCAGCTCCTGCAGCTCTGGCTCTGCAGGACAGCCCCTTCACGCAGCCCAGCAGGTCGTGGATGGGGGGGATGTCGGGGTGGGCCAGCTGGAAGCTCTGGCTCTGCGCAGAGACTGGCACTGGCAGATCGTTGGGCCTGACTGTCCAGCCAGTCCAACTGTATCAGCAAACTCCATTTGCAAAACACAAAGTGGAAAGTGAGGCTGACACTGCTCTCGACCTCTGGGTTCCACAAGTACGTGTACACACGTGCTTTATGCACACGCACACATCACATCATACACATCACACACACGCACACACACACACATCACACACGTACAGATAGAGAACGACAATAAAAAAGGGAGAAAGAAAAGTGGGCACGGTGGCCCTCACCTTTAATCCCCTCACTCTGGGAGGCAGAGGCAGGTGGAGCTCTGAGTGGAGGCCAGCCTGGTCTACACAGCGAGTGCAGAACAGCCAGGGCCACACAGAGAAAGAAAAAAAAAAAAAGGGAAAGAAAATATGTAATGTTGGCTGTAAGCAAGGATCACCAGCAAGATTTTAGTACTGAGTGAGAGTGAAAAAAGTTAGGTTAGCTTAAACAGGTTATTAGAAAACGCAGGGAAATAAGGTTTTTGGTGTCATTAAGTTGAAGTATCTGAAAAGGAAATATATATCAGATGTTGAAATGCTAAAGGGAGCGCTTTTATTAAATTTTTACTCTGCACATGGTCATTGACTTCCTCATTGGTAAAGTTTCTTCCGAGTGACAGATTGAGCATGTACGGAGCCTGTGTCTGCGTTTGCTGCGGGCGGCCTGCCAGGCCTCTGCAGAGAGAGCGGGAATGGATGTGTGGGCTCTGTCTTAGCGCAATCTGAGGAGCCTCAGGCTTAATGACAGGGAGGGAGGAGAAGTGGGCGGCATTCTGCTCCAGCACAGGGCTGTGTGAAGCTCTGGTGAGCGCCAGACCTCGAGGGGGGGGGAGGAAGGGGGGAGGGGGGTTCCTAGCCTGATCCGGAAGCATCTCCACAACTTTATTAAATCTGGTGTTTTAATCACTATCGTGATTAAATTGTGAAAAAAATCAACTTCCCATTCTTGAAAATGATCTTTTTGAAGATGTTTATCTGCAACTGCGGTTGCTTCACAATGTCTAGACTCCCGACCTTCTCTTGCTCATCCTGTAATGGTTTTGACCAGTGGTAACATCCTGGTCACACAGGCACCGACCCTGCACCGACTGCATTTGGAAGCCCCTCACCCAGTTTTCTAAGCTCTGGCAGCATGGGCCCAGGTAGCTGGGGCTACTTATGTATTGATAGAGCCATATTTATTTATTACTTAGATCTTCTGAGCCACCATCCTGCTCTCTGGTTCATACTGGCCTGAAAGTCACCATGTAGCCCAAGCTGGCCTTGAACTCATGATCTAGCTTTTTGAGTGCTAGGATTTTAGGTGCAAGCCATCATGTCCAGCTCAATTTGATACATTTTGAGATGTAAAAACAGCTCTTTTCCTTATGACGAAATACGTTTCTGCATCAAGATGGGAAGCTATGGAGCATGCAGAGTGAGATGGCGCAGCCACCTGTCGTGCGCCCTGTCCCGGGCCCCGACTCTTCAGCGTCCGCTCGGAGGATGCTCTTGCCCTTACTTTTGCTAGAACCTCTGGCTGAGGGCGGCCTGCGTTTCTCCTGCTCACTGGCCCTGTCCATCTCCACATAGCCAGGCTTCCCACGACTCTGCGTGCTTTCCTCTTCTGTCTGGACTTCAGGGCCCACCGTCCCTTGTTAGACTCTGTCCATAAAGACACGGAGAAGCCACTGCTGACCGGTTGCCACCTTTACCCTGATGGCTCTGGAGTGAGTAGATTTTACACTTAGCTCCAAACCTGTGTGTCCACTGAGCAGCTCACAAGCACGCGAGCCAAACGTGCACAGCCGGCCTCTGGCCTCTTCCTTGCTCTCCACTTCAGCAGACACCACCGCTAGGCGGTCACAGAAGCCGAGATTCTAGAACTCTGTCTTTGTAGAAACGTTGTCCACAGCCTCCTTCCACCTCTCCACGTTCTTTGCCTAGTGACGTCTCCTGACGCTGGGCATTTTAGCCTTGTTGGGTGCCCAGGCAGGGCGGGGGCCCTTCTCTACTGCTTCCCTCTGTGAAGAGCGTCCATCCTGGCTTGTTCTTGCCTTGACCGTGAACTCTGAAGGAGGGTGCTTCCAGCTCACACTGGGGTAATACAGTGTCAGCACAGAGCAGGGGCGCTGGGGTGGGGCCATCCTTGTGGAAATGAATGAAAGTGGCAGAAACAACTTGTCTAATTCATGTTACAGTCTATGGAGCTGCTTAAGCAATTGCTCCTATGCACCCCAGAAGCACATTCTTCACGTAGCAGGACAGTTTCGCGAGACTTGAAAATCATGTCTAGTGACCCGGCCTCTGTTTGATTGTCGGCATTGTCCTGCAGATGCATGGAGACATGTAGAGCTTTAGAAGGAGATAATCAGGCATTTGGGGAAGAAAGGAATTTGCCACTTAGGTTTTCTTTACTTTGTGGAACTCAGAGCTGACAGTGGCATCAAGGCCAGACAGCAAGTATTTCCTTTTTGTAGTGTGTGTTTTTCTAATTTAACCTAGGTAAGGTAAAATAATTTAAGCTAATGACAACAAATTTCTAATGTATAGGATGGTTATGTTGTTTTTTGAGATATACAAGTTTGAATTATATTCTGGTCAGTGACCAACTTTGTGGTTAGAAATCTTATGATTTTTTTAAAATTAAGATTTATGAAAAATTATAGAATATAAAAACTCGTGTTTTTCTTTCCTCACAGTCATTTCTGCTTTTCTGGAGGGGGGCAGATATTATGTCCTTTTTGCTTGAGATTTGCCCGAGCTGGGGTGGAGCGATGACTCGTGGTTGGGATCACCTGCTGCTCTTGCTGAGGGCTCGGCTTTATGCTGGGCGTCTGCGAGATCACAGCCACTGTAGCCCCTGTTCCAGGGCACCCAGCACCCAGTTCTGGCCTCCGAGGTCTCTGACACATAAAATAAGTGAATACATCTGATAAAAAGATTAAAAAATAAATTTTCCAAGTTGTTTTGTGCCTGTGAGCATATCACAGGCAGTGTTTGTTATCTAATTCATTTCCAGGCGAGCAGTGAGTGGTTTGGGGGAGAATATGTCTAACATAGCATAGACCATTTTTGTACTCGGCTGAATACTTCTCCATAGTGAATGAAGACTTGCAGAAAGCAGGGTCTGAGAACCCCACGCCAACTGCATTCAGAAGTGCTGCTTTAGACCTTAAGGCAAATATTAGTTAGTTCATTTCAGACTCTCACCCTGCAGGCTGCAGTACCTATATGTTTGCCTTGTGTGGTGATTCGTAATCTTTATAGAAAGGATTATTTGTAGCACAGAGGCAGATGGGTTTGAAACATGCATTTAGTTTTGTTTTCTTTTCAGATAATTGTATGGAAGAGATACAGCGACTTTAAGAAACTGCACAAAGAATTATGGCAAATTCACAGAAATTTGTTCCGCCGCTCCGAGCTGTTTCCTCCATTTGCTAAAGGGATAGTGTTTGGTAAGTTTGCTCTGAAACTGTGACTTGATGTCCCTGCCCACCTTCCTCCCCCCACACTGTGAGCTAGAACCTCAGACCTGCCAGCTCCCTGCCACTGAGTTACAGCTCCATCCTGAACTGTGATTTAATGTGATGATTGGCTAACGATGGTCTGTACCGAGCGCTTCCTCCTGCTGTGGCAATCCCTCAGTATAGTTCCTGTATAGTACACTTGCTCTTCTCAGCCACGGAGGAGCTGCAAGTCTGGCCAGACCAAGAGGCTTAAAGACGCAAGAAAAGATATCCTACTCACACATGTGACCTTGGTTGGGTTGGCTCATGCCCTCCCAGCGCCTTTCTTGTGTCATCTTTCAGTAAGATGCTGTGACTGCACTAGTGTGTGTAATCACAATTGCTTTGTTCGCCTTGCTTTTTCACATCTTCCTCCACCTTTCCTCACCGTAATCGTGGCTAGCTGCTGTGTGCGGAGATTGTGCCCAGCCTGGCTGCTGGGCTTCCTTGACAGCTCCACCCAATGAATTTCTATCATCTGTCTAGTTTGCTTCACTTAGTTTTCAGGAGCAGTCAGAACGCAGCCTGAGCCTTTGCCGGGATGGAGCACAGATGGCTTCCAGCCGGCCCACGGAGCTCGTTCTTGCTCCTCTCTCAGCTCCCAGCTCCTCCTGACCTGGGCCTTCCGTGCCTCGACTTCTCCAGGCAGTCTGGTCTTCTGAGTTCTGAGTCCTGCTAAGGACTCACTAAGTTTTGTTCACTCCTTGATAGGGCTTCTCTGGCTAACAACTCCAAATTCTCCAGCTTCCAAGGCCTGAGAGCCATGCAGCACACACCTCCACTCCTATGTCCAATTTCCAGAATTAGTTTATTTCCTCTTTTCTGTTTTAAAATACGTGATAGAAACAGCTTCTGAAGAACTTGTTTTAGCTCACGCTCAGGGACGCAGTCTGCCATGGTGTCTGCAGTGGCACTGTGTTAGCGAGAGCTTGAAGTGGGGACCGAAGGGAGCATCAGCATGACCCTCAAGGCCTGTCCCTGGTGGCCTGCGTCTGCTCACGAGGCCCTACTTAAAGGTTCCACAGCCAGCCACCTGTGAGAGTACCACTAGCTGGAGACCAGTATTAGGAACATGGGAACATTTTTATATTCAAATCAGCGAGGTGTTTGTGTGATCCTGTCTAATATTATATCATATCAGGGTTGGTCATGTGATCTGTAGGTGATGGTTCCTTGTTTCTGAAATTTCTGCAATAGAAGTCTGTGGCTTCTCCCTTGATGCTGTGTCCCTTCCCGCCCTCTGATCCTCTCCTACCTTTTCTTCTTCCCTCCCTCCATCCCTCCCTCTCTCCATTTCTCCCTGCTTTCTTCTTTCTATCTTCCTTCTTTATGTTCTTTCTTCTCCCCCTCTCCTGATCTGCCTCTCCCCTCCTTCCCATGATCCTTTTGTCCTCTAAGCCCTTGAACCCTGGCCCTGCCTACTTCATTCCTGCCCTTCCCAGCTGTAGGCATTTATTCAGCCAGTCAGGGATAATTTGGAGGCAGGGTTATGCAGTATCATTTTAGGTTCCTGAGGGACTGTTGGTAGAACAGTAAGAATCTTGGGGGCAAGCAGTGGACATCTGAATGCAAAGCACCAGACCATGCCGTAACAGGAAGCATTGCTGTGTGCCAAGGTGAGAGTTCAAAGACTCGGACATTGGTTGGCAGCATCAGAACCACTGGTTTTTACAAGGTTTGCAGTTCATTCCCTCTCCTGAGAGCTGGGGTTAGACTCTGCTGTGTGCCCTTCCCCTTCAGGCGTTTACTTTCAGCTTTCGGGGCCCAGCTCCAACATTCACAGTAAGTCTTCACCTGATTCCTTGACGCCCTTTTGCTCACAGTGTGGGCTCACTGTGCCACACCACTGCTGACCTCTGACCTCTGTGGTCACACTTGTGCTGCCAATGTACCCAGCAAGCTTGGTTCCATGCCTCCGTCTTGCTAGTCACAGTGTCTTCTTGGATGAATTTCAGTCCAACAGTAACTTCTCTGAAAATTGTGTGGCATCGTTAATTCAGGAAACATTAGAAAACAAAACAACAACAACAAAATAAGCACATTGGTAATGGTCTTGCTGTGGATGACGTGACAGACAGTACTAAGCGTGTGGCAGCAGAGGACACACAAGGCTGATACACCACTGACTCACTCTTGAGTGTAATTGAAGGCACAAATAACTATATGAAGTCACTAGGCTGGAGGTGGGGAGCACACTCGGGATGCTCAGGCAGGAGGACCTTGTCAAGACATCTCAAAAAACGAGAAAACAAACTAGAGCAGAAGTGGTCAGCTGCCTGAGGAACCTTATCTGTGGTCTCTAAAACCACTGCAAAGAACACATGCTCCAACACAGCCCTCCTTCTGTGCTTCTTAATAAATGATGTTTTTCTTTTTTAAAATTTTGAGACAGGGTTTCTCTGTGTAACAGCTCTGGCTGACCTGGACTCACTTTGTGGAGCAGGCTGGCCTTGATTATAGAGATCTGCCTGCCTCTGCCTCTGGGATTAAAAGCAGGGCCACCACACCCCGCAAATCATGATGTCATTGTGAGTCAGCCCTAGGTCTGCCTAGTGTGGGGAGAGAGGTAGCCAGAGGGAGAAGGCACACTGCTGTCCTTGCTGGAGTGAGCAAGGTCTTCAGTGACTGTTTGTAGCAACCATTCTCCTGCCTGCACAGGAGGGGTGGGCAGGGGGTGGGTGCTAGAAGCTCTCTTTATAAAATGAGTGAAGACCAGAAAGGGCTGCTGTTTATATGGATTGTAGCTATTACTGTGTACTGTGGCAGCAGAAGAAAGGAAGGAAGGAAGGAAGGAAGGAAGGAAGGAAGGAAGGAAGGAAGGAAGGAAGGAAGGAAGGAAGAAAGAAGGAAAGAAAGAAGGAAAGAAAGAAAGAAAGAAAAGGGGAGCAAAAGAAAAAGGAAGACAGCTGCATTTGAGCCAGATTCGAGTGTCATGCTCTGACGTGCTGTCTGTGGGTCTTGAGGAATTCCGGTTACAGAAGATGCTCTTGGAAGGGAGGGACATTTAACTGAACCATTCTTCTTTGATAGACCAGAGCCTTACTGCTGATGAATCCTTGCAGACTAATTGCAGCAGAGACTTGGAAGGTCCGTGAAGAAGAAATGATCTTTCAGAATGCTCAGTGTAATTCTTGGGTAGTCTCTCTCGAAAGAGCGTCTCTCAGTTCTGTGTGACTTGGTAGCATTTTGCCGTCTCATTTGAAACATTCTTTGCTAGGGCTAGAGAGATGGCCGAGCAGTTAGGGATACTGGTTCTCTTTCATGCAATCCTGGCTTGATTCCCACCATCTACAGGGCAGCTCACTCCTGTTTGGAACGACAGTTCAGCTCTGCCCTTTCTGACCCTGAGGCCACCGGGCAGTCGTGAGGTGCGTAGACTTGCATGCAGGCAAACACTCATAGGGAAAATAAATCTTAAGAAAAGAAGATTTTTATGCGTCATGTTTTGCAGCTCTTGAAGATGATTCTTTTTTGGTTAGCTGATGCCAGCAAGCGTTTTTATGGCCAGAGATCTCTAAAGAGATTTTAGGTGCCAGGAAGCTGGCAAGCTGGAGAGTCTGTGTGGCTGGAGCTTTCTCAGCGAGAGCAGCGCTGTTGGTGGTTTTCCTGAAGTGTTAGGCTCCTCATTTTTTGAGAAAGTGTCTGTCTCACATCTAAGTCTGACGAAGCGCAGTTCATTTTATTTCACAGAATTTTGAAAGGAGAGTTCTCCAAGGACCAGGGTTTAGTAAGTTTAATAGCTGTTACTCTTTTATACAGGATATATGTAACTGCCATGAAAGTTTTAAATATATGACTAAGTGGCTGAAAGGAGTTAAGTAGCTGTTTGTGGCCTGGCAGTCCTGCTAAGAGGGCCCGGTTTGGCTGCCATTGTGTACACACCATTGGTGCGTGGTTAGCACAGAGAATGATGCAGCCAATGCCATTGTTACTACAAAATGGTTAGCCCTGGCGACTGGCCCACGGACTCCCGTAGCCGTGGCCCACACTTTGTCTTGTGTGTACTGTCTTAGCGTTCTGCTGCTGTGAAGAGACACCAATGACCACGGCAACTTTTGTAAGGAAGCAGAGCATTTAATTGGAGCTGACTTACAGTTTCAGGGGGTTAGTCCATTGTCACTTTGGTGGGAAGCATGGTGGAACACAAGCAGGCGTGCTGCTGGGAAGAGGTGAGAGTTCTGCTTCCCAGGCAGTGGGCTTGGCTTCAGCTTTTGAAACCCCAAAGTCTGCCCCCAGTGACACACTTTCTCCAAAAAGGCCACACCTCCTAGTTCTTTCAAATAGTGCCTCTCCCTGGTGACCAGCATTCAGATGTGTGAAACTGTGGGGTCTGTTCTCATCCAACCACCGCACTCCACGGGTGTGCTGTTGCAGTGGGTGGGGTTGGAAGGTGCCGGAGTTGTGTGTGTACATGCCTATACATAGCATGTATATGGTTTAGTTCCATCTAAAGTTAATTATTTTGAGACAAGGTGTCATTGTGTGGCTCTGGCCGCCTTGGAACTTGCTATGTTGACCAGGTTGGCCTCCGACTCAGAGATCTTTCTGCTTCTGCCTCCTGAGCGCTAGGATCAAAGGTGTGCGCCACCAGAGCTCGCCTGAGCTACATTTTTGAGTTAAGCAAATAATGACCAGTTTGCGGAGAGCCCCTCTGTGCGGAGCAGACACACCCGCCCTGCGAGAGGAGCCTGTTCACGTCGGCAGCTTCTGAGAGGCACGAGGGTGGCTCTTGTCCTTCCCTGTACTTCCTGTGTGGTGACTTCGGAGCATGTTTTGGATTTATTGTTTTAAGTTGTGTGTGTGTGAGTGTGTCTGTGTGTGGGTATGTGCATGTGAGTGCGGTGCCCAGGGTCCTCTGTGCTGGGGCTACAGGCAGTTGTGAGGCCTCCAGTGCAGGCTTCAGGACCTAAACCCTGTTCTCTGCGTGCTCTTAACCACTGAGCCAGCTCTCCAGCCCCCTAGACTGTAAAATAGAACATCTTACAGTTTTAACTTTGATGCTGAAGGTATGGTTGGCTTTTTAAGTCCTTGGCTTTGGGCTGTGTGGGCGTGGCTTCTAACGGGTGCCCTCAGCTTAGTGCTTGTTAGTGATTATCTTTATCTGTCTGCACATGTGTCCTTCTGAGTCTTCATAACTGAGTGGTGTATCACTTTAGTCAGTGTACAGCTCATGTGTAACACTTGCTAACTGTGGTGAACGTGCAGGCCACAGCTGTGGTTGTGTGGAGAGAATTGTTGGCTAGCCATCCATCCCTCTTTTTGGCTCCTCTCAGTTTGAGTATGTAAGCCACAGCAGTAAGGAGAGTGTCGGCAGTGTGTTTACTGTGCTGGGGCCAGAGTGAAAAGGTTGCTCTGTGGGCGGTCAGGTGGCGTTAGGCCACAGCTGCTGGCCAGCACCTGTTACCCTACAGTTTCAGGACCCACACAGCTCAGGATGGTCATGAAGTTGCTCCGTAGCTGGGGATGACCTTGACTGGCTGATCCTTTGCCTCCTCTCCCCAGAGTTAGCGCTAGAGGCAGGTGCAGCCATGTCTGGCTTTGCTGTTGGTCTTACAGAATTCCTGCTGAGTGTGACTTTCTCACTGTGTCTGTAGTGTGTGCAACTTATGAAGACATTAGCTGTCGCCTGCCGCTCAGTTCACCACCCCTCCCTGCTTGTCCCTCCTCTGGCATGGCACCTGCTTTTCATGTCTCTGCTCAGCCCTTTACACTTTCAGCGTGTTTCCAGTGTCGGGGCAGCTTTCTCTTCCCACTTCTACAGATCACCAATGTAGCGCTTTTTAATTACCTGGAACCTTTTGTAAATATTTTATTAATATTTTTAATGTACATTAAATGTCATTAATGTACATAATGTACATTTAATGTCAGTGTATGACATTAAATGTAGCTACATCAATGTAGCACTCATTTTATCTCATTTTATTTCCTTTTTTTTTTTTTTTTTTTTTTTTGCTTTAGAGAGGAGAGCATGAAAGATGGGGCAGTGGTCCCCGAGTACCGTCCTCCGGGGTTGCCTGTTCTTAGCCCTTCCTGTGTTTTCTCTGTGCCAGGTGCCCCCCTCCTCTGTTTTGGAATAAGTAGCAAACATTGTCACATTTCCCTGATGACCACAGTCCCATACCACAGCCATGGCTGGGACGCTGGTGCAGCCTTGTGAAGTGGGCGGTCCCTGGGCAGGCTTCCCCATCCGTCCTTCATGGTTCTGACGCGTGGTTCTGACTCTGGAGCTGTGCTGTGGACCCACTCCCTTGCCCTGGCGCTCGACTTCAGAGCCTCACTCTTTACTCGTCACTCTCCCTCTCACTGCTGACGCAGGCTCTCACTCCAGCCCGAGCTTCCTGGTTCCTCCAGCTTGCTGGCCAGCAGGCCCCAGGGTGCCCTGTGCCCTCTTACCCAGACTTGAGATTTAAAACCCATGCTGCCGTGCTCAGCTTTAATGTGGTCACCGGGATCAGAACAGCTTATTTTCCAATGATAGGATGGAGAGGGAGTACTGTTGTCTTCAGGAAAGTTGCTTTCATATGTTGTATGTGAACTGAGAGCAAGTAATAGATTTTAGCGTCATGGCTCTTCCTCGGCACGGCTGTGTGTGGCACATCCTCAGGACAGCCGCATGTGGGTCTTCCTTCTGTGCTGAGGAAGATCTTCAGTGCAAAGCTAGCCTCGTCTACATAGTGAGTTGTAGGGAAGATCTTCTTCAGTGCAAAGCTAGCCTCATCTACATAGTGAGTTGTAGGCCAGCCAGGGCCTAGAGAAACGTTTTATTTTCATGGTGCCTGGTGACTTGTTCTGTAGGGAACTCAGTGACTTCCAGAGGGCAAGAAGTCTGTGGCTGACAGCCACTGGCTCAGCAGCTCCGGCTCTTGAGGGCAGTGAAAGGACATGTGGAGTCCCATAGCACTGACTCTAAAGTCTGAGCTGTGGCTTCTGTCTGTCTTTCAGTGTACTCAGTTAAGGTCTTCTCTAAGAATGTTCCTAAGACAATTTTACGGAGGGCTTTTCTGTCTTTGTTAATTGGTAACAGCCCGCACAGATTTGCCAGCATGCTGGGTGCTAGTCACTGGCACCCTGTGAGGGCCAGAGCCGGGGGTGCCCTGTGGAGGGCATGGCGGGCTTGCTGTGGCGGCTGCAGGAGCGTCAGGCCGGCCGTGTCAGCGTGCTTCCGCCCGTGCCTCACCTTGTCGATGGGACACAGGATAGTCGGGAGTGTAGGAGTCGGGTCTGATCCTCGGTCTAGTCCGCCCCCTCCTTCCCGAAGCCCGACTGCTAAAAGTTGTCAGAAACCTCAGCATAAGCCGGAGGGAGGGGGAGGGGTTTTAGTGTCTTCTGTCTTAGAGTGTTCTTTGTACTTTGCAAAACCGCTTAGAACGCTTTCGGACTGTGAGGCCTGCTCTCGATTTGGCGTTTTTAGATGGCCAGTGTGAAGCAGTGTGACCCCAGATGGCAGTGGCGATCAGGTGGGAGAGCTGTGGAGTCCCGTCATCGTGAGCATCTCTCAGCAGCATGCGGGCTGCAGCCGTTAGAGCCGTGCGGGCCACCTTCCCGTCCCCTGCCGAGCTTGCGCGCCTGTGCTGGCACCGCCAGAGCAGCACACACGGAGTGTAGCAAAAAAGCTTGCTACCTCAAGCTGAGGTTTTGACCCTACTGCTAACACAGGTGTTCTCATAATCCTCTTCCTCCAGCCCCCTTTTTAAATAAAAAAGAGCAGAAAAGGGGAAGTCATATGGGTAATTATGGTATTAAATCACTAGAGGAAGCCATTCTAATCCTTTTAAATTCTCTTTTCAACTTTAGTTTCCAAATGCCATTTTCTCACACAGTTTCTTGACAGGACCAGGGAGTAGATACAGTCTGTTTATCAGTTGACATTGCTACTTCACTTCATCAGAAACATTGTAAGGCTTTGGTGCGACTGTGATTTTGTAGCAGGCATTGCCGATGGGCAGTGTGGCATGCGGTGGCTTCACTCCCTGGGCCTAAACTGTCACTCAACCAAGCTCTGCAGTTGTGTCCCTAAGTGCTGACTCATTGGCTTCTAGGGCGATTTGACAAAACTGTCATTGAGGAGCGACGACAGTGTGCTGAGGACCTGCTACAGTTCTCCGCCAACATCCCCGCCCTGTACAACAGCAGACAGCTGGAGGACTTCTTCAAGGTGCGTGCTGCCCTGCCGCGCGGTGAGCCACCTCGCTGGCCCGCTCTCCACCTCCTATGCGGAAACCCTGATTCCACACCACGCTTGCCCAGCATAGGCATTTGCTGCAATACGATTTCCCCTGAGCGTTCCGCTTCTTCCCATATACAGGGAAGGGTAAGTTTAGGTGGAGGGTTCAGCAATCGAGGTGACCTTTAGGCCAATTGTTCCAAGCCACCTGGCCAAACTGAAGATATGGAAGATTTCTGTACGATAGCCTGCTGGGTGGAGGACCCATCAACCCATTCTGTGGTATTTATGATAACCTGTGGCGTGGAGGCCTGATTATAGTTATCTATTAACATTCTGTGGTATCCACGACAACCTGCAGGGTGGGGGTCAAGTCACTCCAAGGTCAGTCAACTTAAGATATAGAGTGTGAGAAACAAAATGGAGCCACCCCTGCCATCTTTGATTCCTTCATTTTCTCTTCTGCTCTCTTCATCTGCACTCTCTGCTCTCCATTTTCTCCTTCTGAGGCAGGGTCTCACTCTGAATTTCAGTAGCCTGGCTTGTCTGGAGCCCCCTGTGTGCTGTGCAGGCATATAGGCATGCAAAGGCACGCCCACCTGGTAATTTTTTTTCTTGTGATCAGAGCATGTATTCTGATTTTAATCTCTCTAAACTGAGGTACCCCCTAGCATAAGCTGTATCCTAGGGAACGCCCCTCGTGTACCTAAGAGGGACGCCTATTCTTTCCAGGTGGGCATTTTGTGATGGGCATACATCAGTGCATCTTGTCAGGTGGGGAGGAGACAGGTCTGCATTTCTCTTGGGATTTGATATCTTGATTATAGCGTTGGCATAAAAAGCTGTTGATAGAAGAAAGATGGACGGAGCAAAGGCGTTAGGGTCTCAGTGGTGCCATTGCGTAAGGATCACAAGCCCGCTTGTCTGTGATGGCAGTGTTCAGTCCGTAAGGTCCTCACAGAGCATCCTGTCTGCCCCGCTCTGGCTACTGCTCTCCGGCTGAGTGTGGACAAAAGAGAAGCAAGAGTGTTGAGGCCTGAATCTGTAAATGTGGTCACATGCTTAAAGTGGTGATTACATGGAGACTCAATTTAGTTAATTAATTTTGGAACAGGGCTTCACATTGTAGCCCAAACTTCCTTCTATTCCCAGCAATCTGCATGCCTCTTAAGAGCTAGGTTTGTGGGTATGAGCACCATACCTTGTTCAAGTTAAAAAAAAATAGCCGTAGAGTTTTGGCTGTTATTGCAGACGACCTGGGTTTGGTTCTCAACGGGGGGGGGGGGGGGCAACTCCAGGTCCAGGGGCTCTCACAGCTGCTGGCTGCGCTGCCACTGCACACCTGTGGCGCGCACGCATATCTTCAGACAAACCTCTGTAAAATGGAACAAAGATGTCTCCACTGAAGGAGCCTTGACTGGCTTGGTGGTGTGCCCAGGTCAGATCACCTGAGCTGCTGTTGACGTGATAGCATTTGTAAACCAATAAAATTAAATGGTCTCTGATGACGCCCCACTGGTGGGAATGATCAGGCCCTAAGGATACTGAGAGCTGAGTCGCTGTTTTTTTTCTAGTTGTGCAGTTTCTTCCTGTGTGGCAGACGGCAAACACTGTGCTTTCACCTTGTGTCTGTGCGCGGCACACACACCTTTGACTGCAGCCTACAAGGGGCGGAGGCTCCGCTTCTCAGTCCCAGGCCAGCCTGGTCTACATAGTGTGCCTCAGGGCCAACAGCTTAGGTTTGCCAAGAGCTGGCGGGGGGGGGGGGTCGTCTAATCCTTGCACCCCGTTCCATGCCCTGAGCGCGGTCCTGCTTTACAGTTGTGCCACGACAGGCTTCAGTGAGGTTCTGTGAAGGTTCAGTCTGTGCAGTGGCGACCGCAGGCCTCAGAGTGTTGGTTGAGAAGACCCGTGGTTATTGCCAACCTTTCTGTGCTCTTACTGACGAGAAAACATGATTGCTCTGCCCTTTCCAGGGTGGGATAGTTAACGATGGCTCTGAGTTAATTGGTCCTGCTGAGGCGTCCGCGGAGTCCCTGGCCGACAGCTTTCTGGAGTGTGGCACTGAAGGTAAGAGACTGTTTTTCTTGTGTTTCTGAGGTCTCAGTCACAGCTGTGAGTCACGTCACACTGTGATGGCAGCTGGGTGCGAATGGTGGCAGCCCTGACTGCCAACGGCCCCTGCTTTGGCTCTGCATGCCAGCCCGGGGCCGGCTCGGGCCTGCGTGGTGGCGAACTGGCCGCCGTGACCTTTGCTTCCCTGATAGCTCCCAGTCGGCTTTCCTCGAACCATGCAGTGAGGAAGTGAGAGGCTGTGCGCACTGAGACACCGCACACACAGTGGGCCTCTGCGGGGGTGTGGCCGCCTGAGCCCGCCCAGCGGCCTGACCCCTGGCCCTTTTCAAGCCAGCGGCAAGTGAAGGGGCACCGGGAGCGCGGAGTGGCCGTGTTAGTGTGCCTGCTGTGCCTCCCGCAACACTTGAGTTCCACTCACTCAGCGGTGTGTAATCTCTTGATTTGGTTTTGTAAAGCTGCACCTGAACTCACATGCAGATTTCAGTTCGTGCCTTCCAGCTCTTGGATTCCCTAACTACTGTTCTTTTGGGGCAGATTCTACTATATAAAAAGAGAGATTGGGATACGGGGTGGGGTGGGTCTTTATGAATGAGCAGTCAGGTGTTTCTGTGGCAGCCTAGATTTGGCTTGACAGAGGTAAGTGGTTAATGGGTTGATAAGGTGACGAGCTGTTATCTGTCGTGAGAGTTGGCTGCAGGAGGGAAGGCCTGGCGGCCGACTGGGAGGAACTTGGGACCCCTTGTACTCAGTTGGAGGGTGCACGGGTTTACACGCCTGCAGCCACACTGCTGTGTTCTGTGGCGCGTGCTCATCTCGGTAAAACCGGCAAATTCTTGTCTGTCGTGTGGGCTCATGTGCATACACTAGCACATCACAGATACAGACCCACAGGTAGACACACTCACACACCCTCTCTTTCTCTCCTTGAGCAGTAGAGGTGCGGTCAGCTTTTATTCTTTTTCCTTCTGCCTCCCCCTCATTTAAACCTGCGTTCCATGTAGTATGTGCAGGCCGTGTACCCAGGCTCTAATGGAATGAGCCCTCAGCATCTCTGACACCGTCCTCATTCTGCCGAGAAAAACTCCAGGCATCATTTTACTATTTTTATTATGCATACAGTGTTCTGTCTGCATGTACACCTGTGTGCCAGTAGAGGGCAGCAGATCTCACTATAGATGGTTGTGAGCCACCATGTGGTTGCTGGGAATTGAACTCAGGACCTCTGGAGGAGCAAACAGTGTTCTAAACCACTGAGCCATCTCCAGCCCTTGTGTCATTTTACTCTGTAGTCAGCCTTGCTTGCTTGTTTCCCAGGGCCTGTTCTGAGCAGAGGTTCTTGCACGGGCTTGGAAGCATGTAGCCCCTGCTTTGGGCCAGAACTGCTTTCCACGGTGACCTCTCTGACTCAACCTGATCTATCTGTTGTTTCAGATTTCCTATCCCTAAAGGAGTAGGTGTCTGTGCTGCGCAGCACAGCTGAGGAGGCAGCTCTGTGGGCGTGGGGGCTGCTTTTATCCAGCTTTAGCTTTGACTCAGGCTCTCAGGGTGTGATGGGGAGTAGCTGGAGTCTTTGGTATCCACAGCAGTTCTTCATTTTGAATGGGGATCCACATGAGGAGGGAAGGCTGACTGGAGTCCATCTCACGTGTCTGTTGTCATGGGTGGGGGTGGTTTGGAGGCCTGCCTGTCCAGGAGGGAAACCAGAGTGTTGTTTTCAGAAATGATTTTTCCTGGGATGGCGTTTTAAAACATTGAAGGAGAGCAGGTGGCTGACGCCCGCTGCCCTCAGAGGCCTCTCGGCCTCGCTGTCAGCCCTGCAGAGAGACACGGCCTTCAACACCCTCCGTCAGCCTCCAGCTACCCAGCTCCAGGCTCAGACACATGGGCAAGACACATTGAAAACACATTCAAAACACTGGCCAAGGTCGTAATCCACCCAAGGAGGCCAGTGTAATTTGTCAGGTCCCACAAGGAAGGCGTGTATCTTCTAAAGGTGATGTCCCTAGGTGGCCTCCAACTGGGCCTCACCCCTGCTGCTGCAGCTCATCACGGTTACACTGGTGACCAAACACAGAAACCTGGACAAGTTCACTTCCCAGAAAGATGTTGATGCTGAGGGAATATTATTCCTCTTGTTTGTAGCTTAAACATACAATTGACAAGTTCTAGTTTACATCGAAAGGGAAGTACTGATGGAAACATGGAAGTACAGAGTTTCTGCTTTTCTTTAGATTATTACAGTACAGTGGAAGAAAGAAAACTTTCAGATTGTGTAAGCAGTAGCTTCGTGCTTACACTGGCAATGACTGAAGTGTGAAACAGAATTAGGCTTTCAGACAAAAAGTACTGTTTCCCTTTAAAACGACTTCTAGATTTTCTCTGTCAACGTGAGTGTTTAACTGCACACGCGTCCCTGCACCCACGTGTGTGTATGACCCTGCGGGAGCCCAGACGAGGGCGTCAGACTGCCTGGAGCTGGATCATCGACAGGCGTGAGCTGGGACCTGAGCCATGAGGGCACCTGCAGCAGGGTGGGGGCCGAGGCTGACACTCAGGGGTGTCCTCCGGCCACAGGCATGCTGTGTCATCCGTGTCCATGCTCACACGCGCACGTGCACTTAGGTACACGACAGTACACCACAGAAGACTAAAAAACTCTGTTATTAATTTTTCCATTGTGTTGTTTTTATTTAGTGCATTTAAAGTTTGTGCATCAAGGCAGAGTCATTTTAAGCATGACTATCCCCCAGTTGGTTGGTTAATTAGTAACTATGTTAGAGTCTGTGAGGTGTGGAGCGTCATCAATCCTAAGTCCAGTAGGATTTTTATTCTACAAAAGTCCACAAGGTGGCGCCATGGGAACTCAAATGTTAGGCTTGGGCTCCTCTTCCTCTGTTCTAGTGGGGTGAGCCTGAAGGGGTTACGTTCTGTTCTTAAGTGCTGATTTGGTTGCTGCTCTTCACCTCCCCTGACTAATTACATTTTCTTCAGTGAATCATAAAATAAACACGGAATTTTTTTCAAGATAAGCTCAATGTGAACCAGGGCTGGTGACACACACCTGTATTTCCAGCACTTGGACAGGCAGGAGACTCAGAAATTGAAGGCCAAACGTAGTGAGTTTAAGGCTAGCCTGGACTTCAGAGCTCTTTTCTCAAAAACCAAAGCAATGGAAGCCCAGCAAATAAACAGCCAAGGCCAGCACACATGTGACTGTGTCCGTAAGTGTACGTTGCTCTCGGAGGTGAAGGCGCAGAGAGAGTATTGACCCTTGCGGCCTCAGGGCTGTTGCTGGTAACGCTGATATTTGGAACACAGAGGCGGGGGGCAGATGAAAAGCTGATTTGTTATGGTCATGTCTGGGTTAGAGGGGCGTGACGTGTTACCAGATGCGTTCATTTACCGCTACACCTTGCTTTGGCCGTGGTCAAGCTGTGTGTGCCAGGTGGTGTTCGGTAACTCCCTGACTCCAGCGGGCCGTGAGGCAAGGAGCACACTGCTGGTGTGAAAGGCTCAGGAGGGCTGCAAAGATGGCTCAGCACCCATGGAGCCCAGTTCCCAGACTCCACCTTGGATGGCTGCACAGGCTCTGCTAACTCCAGCTCGAGGGCACTCCATGTCCTCTCTGGCCTTATGTCCATGCACAGGCATAGCATGTACATTCACACACACACACACGTGTGTAGGGCAGCAGTTGAAACCTGGAGCCCAAGCTGGGCAGTAGAGCAGGCCCTTGAGCCAAAAGGGCAGGGGGCAGCTCTTCAGCATGTCCCTGTGGGGCTGCATGTGGGGTCAGTGCTGGCTCAAGCCTGCTCTGCCCTCAGGAGACACAGCAGAGTCTGTGCTTTCTCAGCAGCAAGACAGGAATGTTATTAACCTAGGGACTGTCAGAGGCTGCTTATTCTTGGCCTGTAGCTGTTGCCAGCTGACCACCGAGCCACTGAGTACCAGAGTTATGATCAGCACGCAGCTGCAGATTTGGGGCTCTTCTCCTCGGCATATTTAGAAGGACGGTTTCTTTTCATCGGTGTATTTAGAAGGACGGCTTCCTTTCTTCCATGTGTTCTTTGTTGGGTGTGGTGGTGAACACCTTTAACCTCAGCAGAGGCAGAGGCAGGAGCAGGAGGAGCTCTGTGAGTTTGAGACCAGCCTGGTGTACAAAGTGGGTTCCAAGACAGCCAGGGCTACACAGAGAATCCGTGTCTCGAAAACCACCAGCCAGCCAACCAACCAACCAACCAACCAACCAACCAACCAACCAACCAACCAACCAACAAAAACCCTGTATTCTTAATGATTTCATATATCCATACAGCGCACCCCACCACCTCTCATCCTTCCTCACACTTTCTGGACCCCTTTTTCCCCCAGAGATCTCCCCCTGCTTTACCTACTTATATTTACTGACTGGCTGAATTTAGTTAGGGCCGCTGCCGAGTGTGGCGTGGGCTCTTAACCGAAGCCCAGGCTTCCCTCCATGGCTACACTGCTGAGGGAAGGTGGCTGCCCTCCTAGCAGCCATTAACTGCCATGTGGTCCCTAAACAGGGACGGGGCCTCCGGAGCCCCTCCTCCACGAAGGGCTTCTTTCTGCATGGATTCATGTCAGATTCCATCTGATGTGTGTGCCATCCGCCTCCAGGTCATCCTGGTTCTGGGCTAGGTGCTTTTTTTTTTTTTTTCATGCGTGAAGAGTGATCACTACTGGGACAAGTAGAAACTCCCTTTGGTTGACTGTGGCAATGTTTGAACCGCAGAGTTGAGTGGAGGTGATGAGCTAATAGTAAGAGGCCACGTGTTTTATATATAGACACCCACGAGAGGCCACCTGTTGTCAAAGGAGACCGAGCTCTTTGTGCGGATGGTCTTCAAATGCGGGGTTCTGATGGCTCATAGTATAAAGCTTCTGTGTGTGGCAGCTCAACCTTTCCCCCAGGCCCGTCTTTCAGAGATGGCGTCCTAGGCAGATTCCGCTGTACTGCCTGACTCCGAGCA